ACCCTTCAGCTAATGGATTACTTGAGAGATTCCATCGTTCACTTACACAACCGTTAATATACCATATTATCCCAACTGTACACCTCAGTCTTTGAGCAACATACAAAGAAGATCTGAGAGGAACATGCTCAGAAATGGCTTATTGAACAACTATTCATCTCCAATGCAGAATTTTTGCAACCCAAGTTTCTAATTCTTCTCATTCAATTTCATTTCTACAGAAGTTTTGTGAGGCAATGAGAGAGATAGCACCAGTACCATGTTAATAAAAAGTATTTCGCGCACTCACATATATTGTGAGACATGATTCAGTTAAGACCACCCAACTCGCTCATATGACGAACCATTTAAAGTAATAAAAATTTTACCCTTCTTAGTCGAGGTAAAGAACCCGTGAACAGCATTGATCGCTTCAAATCAGCATTATTAGTTTCAGATACTGTAGCATTGGTTCCTGTTCCTAAGCAGACTCCTACATTAAAACGGAATGCCACTATACCCCCAGAAGAAGAAACAATTTCCCTAGATATCTCTGACCCCTCGTGCGTTTGGCATGTGTTTAAGGGGGTATTGTGGCAGACTATTTACATTTTTGACATTTGCATGCAGTGTCCATGTTCACTGCACTGTACCCACGCGCACTCATTAGAGTGGGAGCCATAAGGATTTAAACGTTTCCCCGAGCAATTCTCTTACAATTGTACATCACTGTTCCTGTTTACGTGTGGTCGACATTTGGTGCCGGCTTATCATCATGTACACTCATGGACAAAAAAATTAGCGCACCAAGAAATAATTGCGGGATCGTAATGAAACTTGCAATGAAGGTACATGTCGGGGAGATATGAAAATGATTAGAAATGCAGCATGATTGCGCATTACATATAGCAGGTAGAGGGCACTGAACGTCGTACTCTATCGAGTATAAAACAGGTAACCAAAGCTTGTTTGAGTGTGCTGAATCATTTACAAAGAAAGAGCTGAGGTAGACATGCCATTATGCTGTGTTCGAAGACAATATGAGAAGTTGTCGCAGTTTGAGAGGGGGAGAATCGTCGGGATGATGGAAGCTGGGTAGCCAGCTAGGCGAGTAGCTCATCAATTAGGCTGCTCTGATTGTGCTGTGAGGAGGTGTTGGGACCAGTGGACCCGAGAGATGTCATGCACACGAAGACCAGGCTCAGGACACCCTCGACAGACCAGTCATCGAGAAGAACGCCACATCGTAAGAAATGCACGCGTACAGCCAACTGCTTCATCGGCCGCCATCCAGGCACAGGTAGCACCTTCACTAGGGGCCCTTGTGTCTTCTCGAACCATACGAAGGCACCTGGCTGAAGGACAGTTGGTATTGCGGTGCCCATTACGTGTGTGGCCCTTGATGCCCACCCATCGACGGCTCCGTTTAGAGTGGTGTCGAGCACAAGGAAACTAGACTGAAGCGGAATGGAACCAGGCTGTCTTTAGCGACGAATCTAGATTCAATCTCGGCAGTGATGACAATCGTGTTCATGTGTGGAGAGCCCATGGTGAATGCCTCAATCCTGCCTTTGCTGTACAGCGACACATCGCTCCCACAGCTTGTGTGATGGTATGGGATGCCATTGCCTACAATACACGGTCAACCCTAGTATTGTTCCGTGGCACCATGACAGCCCCAGCGATATGTTCATGAAATTCTGCAACCACTCGTGCAACGGCTCCCAGGAGCCATTTTTCAACAACAACACAATGCTCGCCTCATATGGCAAGGGTGCCACAAGACTGTCTCTGCACTGTTACTTACTACCCTTCCTTGCCTGCCCGATCCCCAGATTTGTTTCCAATCGAGCATATCTGGAATCATTTGGGACGACAAGTCGGGCATCCCACGAGTTTGAATGAACTAGAGGCAAGGTTACAGCAAATATGGAACGAAATGTCTCAAGACATCATACAGAACTTGTATGACTCAATGCCCTATCGTATCGCATCGTGCATTCGTGCTAGAGGGGGTCCAACGGAGTATTAACTCCTGTATTTTTTTGCCTTTTTCTCTGAAATAAATTATTCTTTTTCTTTGATTTTCTTATAATTTAAATATATCAAAGTAGTCATTACATACGTAAAATTTCGTTTTATTTTGACGACTCCTTGGTGCGCTAATTTTTTGGTCCATGAGTGTATTTAGGTTCATATTTTACCTTTAAATTTTAAATAAAGTTAATTTTATGTTCTATCAAAGTTTTTAACCATCCTTTAATGAACCTTCTGACAGGCCTGGGAGTCTTGTGTCATAAACCATCACCATAGTGTTATGCATATTATAGAGTTTAATGTCAATATCTGATGCAACACCCAATTATAATAAAGGATTTTAAAAATCACATCACAAATAAAAACTCCAGCCTTAGTTATTACGGTTAAGAATATTTTTAAGGTGATATAAAATATATAACACTAATAAATTTTATATCATCTCTTGAAAATATTCTTATTCAGTATTTTCTGGAAAACTCATAAAATGCCAGATAAGTGAAAGCTTCAGATAGTTGGGCGTATAAAAAGTGGAACGCATGGGAGAAAAGCCGAAAACTTTTTGAATGAATGGAAGAAGAAATTTCCATTCTCAAATTATAGAAAGTCTTTTTATTTTTTATTTAATTCTAATCTAAAATTTATAAGGCACCATTAGTAAGAAATGTGCAATCAATGTACAATGTGTAACATTAAACAGAATTTTAAATTAATTATATGCAGGTTTTACAAAAAGATTCCCCATTTACTTTGCTTTTATATCTGAATTCTTTAATTTAAGTAGTAGCTGTAATGTAGCACTAAAAAAGAGCAACAACTTTTTTAAACAGTTATTAATAATTAAACAAAATATAATTTATTTGAAATTTAGTTTTTTGATTTCATGCTTACTCTTTATTACAAATTGGTCAACATGGTTAAAGAGTTATCTTAACATCAAACTTGAGGATTTCAATAATTTTAGATCTGTCTGAGAGACCATCCCTCTGTTCTCTTTTGATAATGAAAACCAATGAGTCAAGACGTGTTTTTTTTAGCAGTTTTTCCATTGTTTGGAATCCTATGCTATTTGAATAACCAATAAAACTAAGGCAAAGAAGATCTCATGATTGTATCATGAAATTGTCCTTATCCATTATGGATGCTAAATTCCACAGTCTGGTGAGAGTACAGTATATGCAGTCCACTTAAGCTTTAGAATTCTCATTTGTTAAATTTTTTGCAGGGGAAGTAAGAGTTTTTAAAATTCTATAATATTCCCAGTACATAAGCTTTGCAGTTAGTTGAATGACACATAGTCAGAACTTTAAAAATGCAGTAATATAATAACGATTTAAACTTGCTAAGAAACAAAAAGGAAATATTTAATTATCAGTTTCCTTTACTCACAACCAATCTGACAATTATAATAACGTGTGACCGTATGCACAGCAAAAAGTACACAGGACAAAATGGAAGAATTTAAAATGCAAAATATACAAGAAAAACTGGAATATTTACAATAAAATTCTATATGTATGAATGCCAAAATGATAAACCAAGAATTTCACAGATTTTCTCTATTTTTAAAAGGAAAGAAGCAATGTGAAAATGGTAGAAAAGAGATGAATAAAGAAAGCACATTTCATCATGTTTTGATGGCTGAACAGTGTATACAGCTGAGTATTTGGACATAAAGCCCAAAAGGTTAATGAAGTGAACTGCACCCCTATCAGCTCAAAAATGCTTTTTATTTGCAAGTCTAAACACTTTTTTTATGCTTTTCCCCCCGTCTTCTATTCATGCGTGTATATATATATATATATATATAACATTTTTATTTATTATTGTCAGGTAACTTTGGATAAGAAAAGATCACATTATTAAATATTTCCTTTTTACTTCAATAAGAAAATTTCTATAGCTAGACAAATAGACAAATTTAACACTATTTTAATCTCTCATAAAATTAATGATGATATACGATCCAAATCTTAATATTTTTATTTTTCAGTCAACAATTACATGTCTAACTTTAAAAAAATTCAAACAACAAATAATAATGCTTGATAATAATTAGTATCTGAACACGGTTCATACACGGCCATAGATAGATACTGAACTATCAAAACCAATAAACACCTTAAGATAATTTCTACTTTACAAGATTTACATAATCTTACATGAAGAGGAAAATGAGAAGGATACATCCTTCATGTTTTCCTCTTCTGTTTGGAATCAGAAATCTCTCAAATGTAAAGATGGCAGGAGAAATCTCTAACCTTCTCAAAACTGCTCTTTCCTGATATCCCACAACAGTAACCAGATCCAGCTCATTTTTACTTCATCATTAGAGCTGTGCAATCTGATCTTCTTTCAAAGAAGAAAAAATATATAAAATTTCTAAACGATATCTTAAAACTGTCTTCCTTTCTTTCGAACAGTGGTTCTCAATCTCTTTTGCCCTACCCATGCATCCCTTTCACCACTGCTAGATGATCATACTCCCCTTTCCAAAACTTGAAAAAAATATGTGTTCTTGAAATACATATTTATTTAAATTTAGATTATTTTTATAATCTGTTTTATAAAGTTAACAAGAAAAATATACAAAATGCTGATGACTATCAAAATTGGAACTAAAGTAACTTTTTATATTCATAAACAAAAACTAAATACTTAACAGGTAAGTAAAATGGTGACACATGAATATATGAAATTCCACCCCCCCCCCAAGAGGGGAAACTCCCACCTGGTTTAAAGCCATTTAAGGAGTAGCCATCAGTTTTTGCAGGTTGTTAAAAAACGAACTGAGATTAGACATGATCCTAGGAACTTCTAAGCGTAGATTTTATTGCCGGTCCAACTATGTAAAGCTAATAACCAGCTCTGAATAATTTCTACATAAGTAAGGCTTATTGATTTGAACTATTATCAAATCAATTTCCCAACTTTAAAATGAATTACAAGCAGCAGCTATCATTATAAAATATAAATATACTTGCCTTCGTAATTATGGGCATTCAGAGCATGAAAATAAGAACATTTTGTTGCATGCAGTAGTTCTTTCATGCATAAAACAAAATCACTTTTTGCTGCTATATGCAAACAATTATTTCCATCTTGGTTAGGTATGTTTGGATCTCCTCCCTTCTGGAGAAGAAGTTTTAATACTTTTTCCTTGTTTAGTTTTACAGCTAAATGAAGTGCTGTCTAAAAGGGAAAAATATATATATAATTCTTCATTAATCTCAAAATTATCATAGAACAGAAAGAGAAAGAAAATATCACACACCTGCCAACTTCATTACAATAAAATATAAAAGATTATTTAGAAATAATTCAAAAATAGAGTAAAGTAAATTTTGTAGAGAAAAGCAACACATTTCTAATTATTTTGAAACAATTACAAGGAAAAGAACTTTTCATAAAAAAATAGTAAATAATATATGTGTATTTCATTTTAACATAATTGCAGTAGCTTTTTTTGCTTGTCTTAAGAAGTAATTTAGAAACTGCACTTTATAACATTAATTTCTTGTTGAAATTTCAAGAAGAAATTTCAAGAAGAGAAAAATTAACATGCCAAATAAAACTGACTCAAAAGGAAATCCAATAGAAAATCAGACGAAGTGCAGAATCACCCACTTATTTGGCATGTTATGTTTGGTGCTTTTTACAAGAGAAAGAAGAATTGGATTTTTGTCAATTTTCCTTTGACTTTTTAAGTGAAAATACATTGATGTGTACATAGACAAAGTCAAGGGAGTGTGCAATGCTGAATTTGTGCAATTCTCTAGTTTTTTTTAAGTGAAAATAGGTCGATGTGTACATGGATACCGAGTTTGTGCAATTCTTAAAAATGCACCAAGCAGTGATTCTGCATTTTCCCCGAAAAATCAATGATATTTGGCATAGATTTTATTTTTGCAAAAGAACTTTCAGTGATTCCAATACTTTCACCTCCTTCAATTACAGAAGAAAGTGATTTGAATCAATGGAAGCATTACTGCTAAAATCAAATCTATGCCCATTGATTACCACTGCATTTTTACAACTGCCAATAGATATTCTTAACAGTCTAAAAAGGACTTCTTTTACATGTACAACCTCTGTTCAGGAAGTTTGCTGCACGACATCACAGTTCTCATGTCATAATAGTGTGTAGCCAATGTATTCCATGCCAGACAGGTCAAGACTGGCCTGAAATAGTTCCCAAGTGGCACTGCTGCAGTGAAAACAGCTCATTGTACATGGAAGGTATTGTGCCTGCAATCAAAACTCAAAATGAATCATGAACAAATATGCTGTTCTGTTTCATACTTCGATCACCTTGAAGTGTGCGTTCAAGTAAATTAAACATTTCTGAGAAGGGCGGGATACCATTAAAGACTTCTCCCGAAGTGGTCAGCCTGCAACTTCATGCACCCCAAACAATGTCCAGGAACATTGTGCGACAGTGTGAATGATAGTGGAAAAAGTGAGAACAAGTATGAGATGCCCCACAATTTGGGTAAATGCAAGCTTTGCTCCCAACTCGTGCCCCACACTTCGACTCACAATGCAAATTTGGAACAATGCAAATTTGGCCTGACGCCTGGGGTCACATCGAAACTCAAATTTTCAGAAAACCATCATCACAGGGAATGAGACCTAGTACCTGAGGCATGACCCCGAAGATAAGCATTAATGTACAGAGTGGCGAAGTCCAGGGTCGACAAAATGCAAGAAGGAGTGAGGTGAGATATCCCACATCAAGACAATGCTTGTGGTGTTCTTCGACACTTTGAGTCTCCTCCATAAAGTATTCCTCCCTCAGGACACCATGTCAAATGCCACTACGTATGTGGAATTACAAAAAGGCCTGCTGTAATGGATCAAGTGGGTACATCTCCCAGTATGTCAAGGAAGGCAATGGGAGACCCTACTCCATGACAATGACCGGCTCTACACTGCCTTACTGATGCATCATTTCCGGGTCGACTTGGAAGTTGTGTCCCTGAATTACCTACCGTACTCGGACTAGTCTCCCTCAGACTTTTTCTTGTCATCATTTTTTTTGGCCATCACTTAAGACACTACGCCAGGAGTTTCCAGAACTTGTACAACCATTCCCAGATGTTTAATACCACTAATGGGGAACTTCAAACTATAGTAACAGCTGTTTTATGTAAGACGACAATGTAGATATATTTATCAAACATTCTGGAAGAAGTTGCAATAATAAACAGGATGAATTCAAATGTTAAAATATCAAACTTTCTGAACAGAAGTTGTAATAATAAAGAAGATAAATTCAAATGTTAAACTGATATCTGTCAAGAATCAATGCAAGACAACAGTCAATTCGCTTGAAATATAAGTAATGACAAATCACCAATCTAGCATAAAAATTGGATGCCTTTATAAAAAATGGCAAAATTCATAAAATATAAAGTTTCTCTATTTTATTGACATATATATATTACTACGAATAAGAACGACTACATTTTAAATGCAGTAAATGATTATATCAGAATCTAACTTAATTTTTGCCTTTTTATTAGAAACAGTTTCTAAAAGTTTTTATCTAATAATATTCTTTTCAGGCAATGTATTTTTTCCATGTGTGTAACTAAAAATACAAAGAGTCCCACGTTTAAAAAATATGGTGGTTAAAAAAATACAAATAACAGAAGCTTTTTCAATTATTCATTATACAAACGGAACAGTTTGCATAATCAGTACATCAGATTTGTACTCATATCATCTGAAAGAAATGATATTTTAGTTATTTTTAATTCACAGAAGACAAAACTTTCATTAGACTGGACTAGCTGGAGAGTGACACACATTTATTAAAATTTCAGCTGATTCTTCTAATGCTGTTCATGCAAATTTTTCTTACAAAGGATGTATCTGATGTTCTACTTTTTGACATATTAAAAGAAATGGCATTCACTTGCAAACATTTTGTATTTTTCAGAATGTAGTAGGAAACAAAAATCACACACCTCTTTGCATTTATTCTTCAAATTCACAACATCTTCTGAAATGACATTTAACAAATGTTGGATTATTTTCAAGTTAACATTCTGGCTACTGACTGCTATATGGAGTAAACTAAAAAAAAGGAGAGAAAGAAAGGAAAACACATAAGAAATTTTAAAGCTACAAAATAATACTCCAGATATTGCTTCATATAAATACACCATATAGCTGCTGTAAGCAATTAAAAATTTTAATTCTTACGAGTTTCCGTGATCATCTTGCAGAGGTATAATATTTTGAACAGAGAGTAATAAAGAATTAACATCTCCAGTTTGAAGGATACAAGCTATAAGTTCTCGAAGGCACTTATGGGTACTCTCTGGTTTCCAGTTGACAACTTTTCTACTATTATCATTTAATGATAGAGATGCCACTTTTGCAACTGCTCCATCAATATGAAGGTTACTGTCTGTATTGTCAATATTCAAATCATCAAAATAAGTTGGATCTATAAGTAAACATTCACAAAAGATTAATATTGGTTTTAAAATATGTAATTATACAAATAATTAAATTTTAATTTCATCCATAATATTTCAAAAATGAATGCATAAACATACAGAAAATACATAAACAGATGAGTTGCTATGAACTTCACACAAGTTTGTATATTTTTGCAGAAATCAATATATATGCAGTTTTATGCTTTAAAAAAACCACACACAATAATTTTAAATCGATGAAATTTAAAAAACAGTTTGTTTCAATTGTTTCTATTTAGAAACATGCAATTCTTAAGTTTAATTTTATTAACTGCATTTATTATGATTTACTCACATTACAATAGATGTCTACGGGGTCAAGGAAAAAAAAAAATGCTATAGCAAATGGTCATTATATCAAACATACTTCAAAATTTAGAAAAAATAATATTGGTATGTTATTCTGTTAAAAAATTTCCAATATCCAGGAATTTATTATTACCGTAATTTTATGTGTTTAGAATTTTAAATTACCACAATTTTATGGGTTTAAAATTTTAAATTACAGCAATTTTACATGTATAAAATTTTAACTATTTATAATAAAATCAAATAATTAATAATTTTATTTAAAATTACTGCTCGCATTTAGCATTCTCCTTAAAGAAATGAGCAATTTTCCAATTAATGGGATGCCACTTAAGGGATTATCACATCTAGCGATGGTCCCTTTTCTGATCTGCTGATTGTACTGTAAGCACAAATAGCTATGTAAATATTATTTTTGAATATTATATTTACTTTCTGCAACTGATTACACACGGTGCTTCATGTAATTATCTACCACTAATGTGTATAACCATTTACTGACTGTACTGTATGCACAAAAAACTTATGTACGGATTGTTTCGAATATTGTATGTACTCTCTGCATCAGATTATACATGGCACTTCTCTGTATGTAACTACTCACCACTAAATATACTACCATCTACGGATTGTACTGTAAGCACAAATAGCAACATACAGTTTGTATCGAATATTGTATCTACATCTGCTTGTACACGGTACTGTACTATATGTAATTTTGTAATTACACTCTACAATTGTTTGCACACGGTAACTTTACTATATGTAATTACTTAGCACTAATATTTATCACTACTTTCTGATTATAATGTATGCACAAATAGCTTTGTACAGATTGTTTTGAATATCATATATAATCACTGCACTTGATTATACACAGTTTGTACTAATGTCAGCTTTACTTATCCACTACTATTATACCTAATCAAGTACTTATGTTTAATGATATACCATAACATTATGCAATCATGTTCTGTAACTTCTGAATGCACATTGTAGCATGAAAGTGCAAAGACGTTTATGTATAACAAAAATTGTGACACTGTAACATCTTAAATATTTTTTATGTGTTCCCAGGCTGCGTAATGGAGTTCTGTTTCTGCTGTATGGGCATTATTCTGATAGGTATAACCTTAGGTTGGAAGCCCTTACAACAGTGATCGGTGATCAGTCCCTTTTCTGAGAAACGATATTCTGGTAGCACTGGTTTAAACAAGAGGATTCCTAGAAAAAACAGCTCCGCTGGAAGTGAAGTCCCATCTAGCTATGGAAATGAGGTACCCGCTACGAGGAATTTTTTTAAAACCTCGCCGAAAATGTTTCATCTGCAGCTATCTGGAGAGAGATCAACCAATACAACGAAAGTTCTGCTTCTGAAGGATCACGTGATCCCAATCTGGGCAACAATCAATTACCATTTAGCTTTCAAGTCTGTTTAGTAAGTAAAAATGGTAACTTAGCTACGTAGGTTTCATGGAAATGTGCGGGTTCTCAGAATTGTTCCTTTCGATGTCCAGTCCTACATAGCTGAAACATGTGTGATTATGACTTAGCATCGAACATAAATTTTTGCATGAAAACTAACAGAAGACAGGAATGGCAAACTTGATCATACATATCGCTTCATGAACAGAATGGCTATTTTATTAAATTTAAACAAATATAAAAAGTCAGGACAAATACAAAAATTTATATATAAGAATACATACAATTATTCCAATTTTCAGATGAACAATGAATTATTTCTGACTGCAATTAACAGAATTCTACTAGCATGAATTTGTGATACCAGAAATAAATAAAACAACTGACACAAAAGAACAAACAACAGCCACAAAAGGAATGCATGAACTTTTCTGAACCAGCTTTCACTCTGTAAACCTATATTCTCAGAGCATGATATTCACTGCAATGACATTTCAGTATTTCGGTACTAGTAAAACTGGCATGTATTTTATGATTTTCAAGACAAACTCTTTCATTATAGGTGATATAGAAGTTTTCTTTGGAAGAATTGAATGGCAACTGCTAAATTATTACATAATCCATATTAATTCGCTCAAACTCACAGAGGGAAAACTAGTGAATCAATGTTCATCCTTTCTAATTATTCTCAATGAGCCGCTCAGATAGTATAGTGGCTAGGGAAGTGGTGTAGATGGTATAGTGGTTTGTTCTACTGCAGTACTGAAGCGCCTAGGATCAAATCCCACAGTAGGCATGGCTGCAACTGTCTGCTCCTTTACAGGAGGCAACAGTAGCTGCCTATTAAGTGCCTCCACAATAAAACGGCCATCACTGTTGTCCTTAACAGTGGCCGATGATAAATAAACAATTGCCTGCCACTGGATTAAAAAAAAATATTCTTAATGGTATCACTGCACATAAGGTGACTGACTCATAAGGTCAAATATATAGGTTACTTACTTCATTTGGAGTTTTGGCATAAAATGTAGTGTTCTGATAGTTTTTGAATGGTTTTGTTAATCAGAAAATATTACTTTAGAAATTTCAAAAAGTCCAGTTACGTTTATTGCACTTTGTACCAACACTCACAGAATATCACTTCAGTTTGAACTTGGGAATGATAAACGAGGTACATAGAGTAGCAAAACAATATTTCCAAATATTTATAAATACATTTGTAAACAACTATCTATTCATTGCATAGGACAGAAATACCATCAAATGTGGCCAAAATTCATTTATAACTGTTGCGACTCCTATTAAGTTTAGCATTTCTTGTTTCTTATTATTTAACAATTTGTTTTGTAACTCTGTTTGATGTATGAACATGGCAACCAGTTTTGTTTTCAAATGTTGTGATCCGAAAATTCTCGTTATAAGTAAGCAGCTGTTAAGTCAAAAAATATGTATTGTTCGTTAGACATTCTTTGGTTAAGTTACATTATTGAGATACTTAATTTTTCATTATTAAAATATATGGATCATTTGATCATTCTGCTAAACTCCACATGTAAATAGTCGCATTAATATGTACGTGTTTGTAAAGTGAAATAAATTTGATATTAAATGAAGTTGGATTTCTGAGTCAAAACAAAAGTGGCGTTAGGACATTGTACTCTGCATTAAGTAGTGAACCAGAAGCCATTAAATTTACAAATTGAACATTACTTTATTGGAGGTAAACCATATAATTTATTGATTTATTGAATTTTTGATTGCTTCTGAGTTATTTTATACTAAGTTTTGCTTCATGTAGAAAATTTATGTTCAATTTGATATAGTACGTTTAAGAAAGATAAAATGACTCTAGATTCAGAACAAACAGAAATTCAGGATAAATTAAAGGCTGATCAATTGAAACTTGAAACTAAGTTACAAGCAGGAAGAACTAATTTACGCTATTTCTTTACTAAGGCGCCGAATACGTTTGTCAATATTCATCGTAAGATTGATGTCGAAAAGGACATTCATATTCAGTTTGGCAAAGTTGTCTAGAAGGTACAGCGTTTATTTAAAGTAGATTAAGAAATTAAAAATTTAATTAGTTTTACAGATCAAGAATATGATGCAATGGAATCTTACAGAGACAAATTTATTGAAATAAGAGTTATATATGAGAAGAATTATAATCAACATTATGAAGGTAAATCTGTAATTTCTAATAAGCTTGCATTTGATAATTTAAAACTTCCGAATTACGTCTTAAGGAGTATGATATTATGTCTAGATCATGGGTTGCATTTGGGGGTCAGTTTTCTTGAAGTAATGAAGATGAAAATTTAAGAGAAGAAAAATTTCAATATCTGCTTTCTTCCTTGAAACCAAAGGATAAAGCAAGTGATATCGCTGAAAGTTATCCACCTTCCAAAGTTGAAAGTTATTGACCATTTAAAGTCCCGATTTGGCACAAAGGACTTATTGATTGAAGATCAGATTTGAGACCTTCGCTGGAGATAAAAAAATGTTTTATTTCAAAAAGAGTTGCCACTGCTCGCTTTCAAATGGTTGAGTTTGTTAATAAGAAATATGTTTGTTAATAAGTTTTACAAAATATGAAATAAAAAGAGCACTGCCAAACACTAAACATATAATGGTTATATAAAGCCATATTCTGACGTTGAGGAAAGCATGTGATTGTATGTGACATCATTGTATGATGAAAATTTTTTATTAATGTCAGTATTTCAAATAAATAGCTGTTGTTGACAACTATTTTTTGTCAGGGATGTTTCCGTAACTGGCACTTAGCAAAATTTTGAATTTGTTTACATCAGAAGAGCGCGTATGTGCAACAGATATGGTAACCCTGACAAGTGTTGCAACCCACACAGGGAATTTTCATGAAGGAGGAAAAGGGAAATTTTCTGTTTACTTTTCGAATATTACGGTACGAGTAAATAAAGTTTGAAAATCGCAAATCAGTTATTAGTTCATATTTTCGCAAAACGTTTATGGAGATTTAAATGAAAATATAAAATTTTATTCTATTTATTCTCAGTTACCTAGAGTATGTCAAAATTCTACTTTATAATTTTCTACGGTAAGAGTAAATAAAGTTTGAAACCCGCAAATCATCATTTGTTCATATTTTCGCAAAACTTTTATGGGGAGTTAATTGGAAAAAAAAAAAAAAAAAACTTTATTCTATTTATTCTCAGTTATCTAGAGTATGTCAAAATTCTATAATTTGACTAGTGCATCCAAATAACCAACTAGTGATCGAATTAAGGAAAGTGTCTATTAGAAGTATCATGTCAATAGAAAAAGCTTGGAAATACCAGAATATTGAAACACCAACTTTTCACTGGGAAAATAGATTTACTAATTTTATTGGCAATAGAAATTCTGTCACCTTGCTTTATTCACATGGCCTGGCATGCATGCATAGTATCAAAGCCCTGACATATTCTATCTGTTTTCTTTTCAATAGTGGTCTGTATTTCTCAGCACCATATTTATAATAAATGCATTATTGAATTGTATTTGTAGGTCATATAAAATAGCTTTGAGATCACTAAATTAAATGATAAACAGTGTTTCAGCTTCAATAAATCTGACAGGAAACAATGAGCCAGCTGTCTAATGCCCTTCAGCATGATCATGATCTTTCAGAAGTGGCCCCACCAGTGCCGAAGTGGTTAAATGCTGCTGAATACTAGTAGTTAGAACCCAGCCAAATGCGCTGGCTGTGGGGTTGATTTTCATGTTTTTCCTCATGTGTAATATGAATATGAACCAATTCACTGCAGAAAAATCATTCCTTCTCTTAGGCAGATTTTCTTTTTGTACTTTGCCATACTCAAATAACCTAAAGAGGCTATCACTTCTAGGGACGTGCGCGGCTACGCGGGACAGTTCTGAGAAATGAGATTTTAGTAGCACTGCTTTAAGTGGTAGGCTTCCGAGAAATGTTTCGTCTAGCTAGGAGGAACATGTCCCAGCTACAAGCAACATTTTAAAACTTTTCCGAAAATTTGACGAAAGTTCTGCTTCTGAAATATCACGGGTAACTTTCAATATGGCGATGGCTCTAACTGTGAAGTCATGGACGGTGGAAATAGAGGCCGATTTAATTATTGCTGTTTTGTTGTAATAGAACTGCCTGAGTCATTTTTAAAATGTTTATATATTCATTAAATACATAATCGTAGAAATTTCAGAGTTGACAGTATTTTACAACGTTCTTGCAGTTCGGATTTGTTTACAAATTGTTCGTCGCCAAAAGATGGCCAAATTTGTCGTATTTCATGCTGATCATGTATTATCACTGTTATATAACACAATTTTATTTCTTAAATTTAAGTTTAATAATTTTTTTAAATCCGTTTGTATATGCACGGCTGTTCTCCTAATTATTTATCTTTTAAATTGTTAATTCCATAATCAGTGACACATTTTAAACAGCATAAAAGATGCATAAAAAAAGAAAAGCATAGCTTATGTAATAATGAGAGTACTCATTAAATTTGTCTATTATTCTCATGTTATTAATGAAATATTTTTTGGATTATAAATACATTAGAAACTATACTTTTATTGTAAATGCTATATATTGAAACATTGGGAATTTATGGATTTATTATTATGCATGATGAAAAATGATGATTTGTATATACATTCATTAATATAAATCTTATTCATTACATTAATACTAATAAATATATATTAACAACTTCTAAACCATCACATCTCTCTATCTGTATATAAATATATGACTTATTCATATACCGAATAATTCATATAATGATCATGTAATTGGCAGCAACTGTAGTCATCAGTCAGTCTTTGCAAATTATTATGGATATGTAATGATTAGTTAAAAAATAATTTATGAGTATGTGAGTACTAAAGGTGTACACATTTTGTTATTGGGTTAATTCATAATTATATCATATGTATGATCTATGTAATATAAACATGACTAATAAATAATAAGAAATGTAACAGCTGTGCATTTATAACATTTGATTACTTAAAACAGTGCACAACTGATTATCACCTTCATGTCTGTTTACATAATGAATTGTACTTTCCAATTAAGTGCACGGGCCTACTAGTGGTGGCCGAAGCATTGTTGAACACTGGTAGTTTTGTCTCAGGGTAGAATGCTGCAAACGGGCTGGCTACATAGGATTTTTCTTGGTTTTGCCCATTTGTAACTGGTATACATGAGCCAGTTTTAAAAAATCTTCTTCAAAGGGATCCCTCCTGTTAGGCAGATATCCCTCGAGGCTTTGCCGTAATCACATAAAACAAACTCATGATGTGCACCACCTAATTTCTAGAGTTGGTATAATTAATGTGTTTTAGGTATATTACTGAGTGTTCTATGGGACAGTAAACAACTCGCACATGTTTGATTGCTCATGTATTCATATGCTTTATTTGATCTTCATTTTGCTGAATAGTATCTGCTGGCTGTGAGGATGTAAATATCAGCCATATAGATTTTTTTTTTTTGTTTGTTTGTTTGAATGGACAGAACAGTAATTATGAGCCATAAATTTAGTCAAGAAAATGCTTTCACCAGGTCACAAATTTTCCAGTGAGCCATCAAATTTCATTGGAATGCAGACAACAGAAAATACACATAAGTAATGTCTGATAAATGGACTTATCCAGCACATGTTTTAAACTATTCTTAGTGTATATAGAATTTGGCTATTACTGATGTAATTGATTACTATTTACATATTATTATTACAGTTATTTTTTACAGAAGTGTGTTTATCTGTTACTTGAAGTGTCAGAGTGGAGATCAAAGTGATTAACTTGATAGCAATCACCTTTCTATTATCTTCCATTACTAATAATAAAGTTTAAAATGAAAAGAGTGTGAGCGATACAAAACAACACGAAGAAGCAAACGTCACTTGAAAGGAAATGTCACTCGCCAATCTGAGTGATAACTGATTCTTGTTTGGCTTTCAGCCTGTTACCAAGGGAAGATGGTAACCCTATTTCGCCAAAGAGCATTTCTTAGAACTGTTCCACCTAACATTTTGCTCCGGCAACAAATATCATATGTGATAAGGGTTTTAGATAACCATTCAGCTGCTAACCTCTTCAGATTTGTAAAGATTTATGCAGATTATTTTTCAGATTTATGCAAACTTGTTTATACCTGTATCTTCCTTAATGAAATGGGAGAGATACATGCCAGTGTAAAATTAAATAATAGGCAAAAAAAGCAATCCTACTTTGGCAGAAGTTAAAATTACACCACACTAAGGTTTCTTTTTTGCCTAATATTATATCTTCCTTAATATCCATCATCATTGTTGAAAGAACCAACCTCTTCCATATTTAATGGAAAATAATCTCTAAATTTTTTTCACCAAATCCATACTTTTCTGTTTCTTCTCTCTTAATGTAACTGTCAATCCTATTCTTTTCTAAAATAATTGGCTTTGAAAACTTTGCAGTTTCCTATTAAATGTTTTCTTTTGCATGAAATTGTTAACATCCTTAAGTTCCTGATATGACTAATTAGTTCCGCAGTTTCTGTTGTACTAATGAGTTGATTTCTCTTCAAAATCACCTTTCATCTCTAAAATTTGTGTATAGAACATTTGTTTCTCCTTTTTTACTTCTATTAATGATCCCAACTATTTCGTCAATCACCAGTTATCACTAATACATATCTGAATCTTCTGCTTTCATATCAGCTACTGAATTACTTTTAACATTGAGTTTATTCATTAGTTTCCATTTAATCATCTTTCAGTTATTAGTATCAGAAAGTATCTCAAACAATTTTGTTAGCTTTTTAGATATAGTTCTTTCCGTATTTTAACATACTCTTTCCTGGTCAGTTCATATTCTGCCTACCATTAAATGAATTGCCGGTGTATTGCAATTTACTATAAGCTGTGTAATATCTCTTTTAGTAAAATTATTTATTGCTATGTCTGACCAGTCTTACTTTTTGTTTTTGTCTTACTTCTTGCTGGTTTTATTTGATTTCTGATCTTGAATAAATCATTTTCCTTCTATGTTACTTTTAAGTTTAATGAAATTACAAGTAATTCGAAAAAGACAATTCAGTTATTGTCTTTTACATTGTCCCCCCTTTTTTTAATAGTTCTCATGCTAGTTCACTCTCCTGTGGCTGAGAAGCTGACTGAACACTGCTAATTCAAAACAGTGTTAAACCTGGGCAAATGATTAGAGCTGCATGGGAAGTTTTTGCTGCTTTCTGCATGTACAACATGAATACAAGTCAGTTTCTTTTAGATTTCTCCCACAAAGGCATCTTTCCTGTTAGGCAGATAGCCTTCTTGTTTGCCTTGATCATCTTAATCTAACATAACTTAGCCTCATGCTGTTTTTCATTGTAATGTTAGTAAATGTGCATTCTGGGGTAAAACTGGAGATCAGACTAGAGATTTATAGAATGGGTTTCAAAAGGCACTGCTACACACCTTCTTCTCCTCAAGTTCATGTTGTCTGCTTCTATGTTGGAAGCAGACTGAATATATTTCTCATTTTTTAGTTTAATCTGAAATCAGGGAGAGTGTAGGATCTTTGACTTAAGCCTCCTCTAATCAGTTGTAGACAAAATTTTCATTCTTTGCAATGATAATGTTTTCGTTTCATTGGTTATAGTTGTCAGTTTGGTATTTTAAAGGCTTTCATGTGCATTCACTTTTTATGCTAAATCTTTTGAATTTTTATTTTTTTCCATTTGTAGAAAAACTTTTTTTTTCATATCATCAGAGATGATGATTGTAGTCTGGATATAGCTGGAATTCTAGAAATTTTAACTTTCTCAAACCCTGAATTTTTGGTTTGCTTAAAGTTTAAACTCATTATCTTTGTCAGGTTTTGTTTTAAAATATCTTTAGAATTAAAATTCGAGTTTCAATCTTAGTTCTTTGCCTGAAGACTAGGAACTTATTCTATAGATTAATTGGAAGAAGGAAGCACCATATGGACATGTGATCATAGCATCGATTGGAGAGATCTCGTAAGATCAATACCATTTAATGTAAGTGTGTTTGGTTGAGTTCATTGTGCCTAATGAAAGAGTATGCTTGGAATATGCATCCTCTTCACATTTCTTTTGTGGGCTGAAAATTGTTAATGCTGTGGCTACTATGTGTTTTGCTATAGCCACGTGTTCCAGCTGACAATCTCTGAAAACAGTAGCATAAAGTGGAAATCATTCCGTGTGGAACCTGGCAACATTAGTCAAGAAGGTGTTGAAATCAGAAATGCATTTGAATGGGAGTAATTGCAAAAAAGGAGACTTCTAAGGTAAAAGAGAATTAATGTCTAATGCAAGAAAAGAAATGTTCCATTTTTTTTTTTTTCTTCTGATGTGTGTGTGTGTATCATAATACTTTTATTCGTTACAGTCTTGGAGGTTTAAAATTTTTGTCAAAACATGCAGCACAAGAAATTCATTAGAATGCTTGAGGGTGTGTAAAGAAAGTGCAAATTTTATGCATTATATGCAGGCATTACTAAGGAATTACAACAAAATGAAAGACCTTGATAGAGCTACCAGCAAAACAAGTTCAGACGTACTTATACTGTCTTTTATGGTGCAGCATTATCTTTGGCTTCTATTTCTCTCATTTTCATTGGCTTCTCATATTTTTTAGCAAATTAAAATGTTAACTAATGCCATGAATTCATTACAATTGAATAGGACAACTGCAACTCCAAACTAAAGTATGGACATGCATAAACTACCAAACAACAGCAAATGGAAAAGTTTGAAAGGGGTTTATTTTTTCTTATATATTGATATACTAACATAGCAACTAGAAATATTTTGACAACTTTGTGAAGTATTTTTTCAAAGAACAAGAAAGACAGTTTGTTCCGAAATTGTTGTAGTTCTGAGAAGCAGCCTGTAAACTGAAAATATACACTTCTCAAAACAATTAGGGAATATTATGATTTTAAATGTAAACTGCATATGAGGAAATGATTTGGTGACTAATATATGATGTATAGGTGTTGTAAGGTACGAGAAAAGAAAGAGAAGCCACGAACAAGGAATAATTAAACTGCATTTATAACATTCGTTGGTAAATAAAAATTTCACAATTTGTGCATATTATACAAACATATAAAAAATGCCAGGCTGTGTATGCAGTTAAGCTTTTAAATGCTTTCATCAATCTTGGCCTTATGCTGGAACTTCTTTTCACGAATTTTTGCAGTTTTCAGATCAGTTGTTCATCTCAGATAAAATAACATGCCATTTTGATTAGTGGAAATACTTAGACATGTAATATCTTATTTGAATGTTAAGCTGATTCTTGTTGCCTTAGTATGTCCAATAATCAATTAAAAACATTGTTAAGAACCAAATTTAAGGCTGTCACAGAACAACAAATGAAGCACAACAGAAACAAGCTCACTGACAATTAATTTGTTTAAAGTAAAGCAGTACAGCTGGACACCAGTGTCAGATGCCAAGTTCAAATTCTATAGATGCTGGCCAGCTAGGCCCTTGCATCCAGATGGCTTATATAGCTTCATGAGCTCATAAAGCTTCATTTAAAATTGAAAAGTTTGATATTTTGGTAGTTGAGATGTAGAATAATAATAAGCAAACTTTTAAGTAATTAGTGTAATGGTGAAATTTTTAAGATGATTTTGGCATCCCCAAATCAGATCTAATTTGGGAGAAATTTTGCACTTAAAATATAATGAAAGATAACCTTATGTATAGGTTAAGTACATTTTCATTTTTTTCAGTCCCCTGGAGCATACCATAATAAAGGTTTTGTAATAACATTGCTCACTATGTGTGCCTTTATTATCTTCGATGCTTAAGCATGAGCCGACCTTTTTCCTCATTCGTAATGTTTCACAAACCAATGGAATCGACTTACAAACGAAGGACACCCTAGTCAAGCTTTGTTAGTATAGAGCAGCCAGTGAATATCAGTCCTCTCATAGCACCGTTTTCGAAGAAAATAAACAGATATGAAATGCTTTCAATTAATTGTGCTCTATGCCAATAAAAGATGATGCCAACTGTTGAATAGACAGTGATAATATTTGAATAGACAAAAATACCCTTTTTTGATAAATGGAAAATAACAATGAAGTTGTTTAAATGGTAATGTACCACATATAACTTGAATATTCTTGATGCTTGAGCCAATTTTTTGTCTGATCTACAAGATATTGACTTGTGCACCAATGGATCCTAGACTGATCTGTGAGAATAACAAAATGTACTTTGTCATCAGCCCTTTTATACCACCATTTCTCAAAAAGATTCAAAAAAGCATTCTCTGCAAACATTCAGTCTGCCCATCAAATATAGATGGCACTATCAGATGTTGAGGCAAGAACAACTAATTTTCCACATAGAACTTTTTAAAAAAATTTGTGTATTAGTTTTTGGTTTTTTTAACCATTCTTTTCTCACAATGCGAGTCAAATGGGCTGTGATATGCAAATAAATCATTATTTAGGCAAATAAAGCAATATATATTTACATTGTATATGGTACAAATTGCATGATGCTATTATGAGTATTGTAAGAAAAATTGTTGCTATTTCTTAAAGTTTCACACATGTATGAATTACTTATTTTATTTTAGGATATAGCTCATAAGCTAATAGAAGCCTGTAGTACAGTAGCTTGTGATAGTCTGGAACAAACTACTTGGTTATGGCGCAATCTTGCAGTTAAACCAGGACCTCAATCTGATATTTCTACTCCAACTGAAGATGGTATGTATATTATGAAAGATGTCAAAATTTGCATGTTGGATATTAAAATAATTCTTCATCACCAATAGCCAAAACGTAAGTTGCGGATTCTCTTATTAATATTTTCATCCATGATTTTTTGGCATTTTTAGAAGGATTTGTTAGTTACTTTGCATAGGTGTACTAGTTTTTATCCCTTTAGATGGAAGCAATAGCAGGCATTTGGTATTGTTGGGTAAACTTGGAAAGAGATCCGTGCCTATATATTTTGTCACCTGAGGCAGAGGAAAATTCATGCCCCTATATACATTGCAATATGCCTTGTGTTTCTGGGAAGTGGGGGATGAGAAATATACATACACACACACAAATATATATATATGCATTATTCTGCATGATTTATGTACATAAATATTTGGAATGCAAATTAACTACATCTGTGCACGTTTATATTCAATTAAAGAAATTATTTCAAATCATAGTACCATGATTCTGATAAAAATATTAAATGATACCTTTATGTATTCCAAAAAAATGAAACATACACAGTCAAAAGTCGTTAATTCGGACACCAATAATCCGAAATGATCTATAATCCGGACCTCAAAGCTACAAATTTTCTGCGCATGCGTCGCGTTGACGCATTAAGACCTTTACAGCTGCGAATTTGCGCGCGCTCATGCGCAAAATACGTTTACGCATGTGCGTTTAATGTATAACGGATAATATAAGCTAAGCTAAAATTATCTAATTCAGTTAATGTTGCAGATTGCGTTGTTCCTTAATCTTCGAATTGGATCCGGCTTATTATTTTTTCCAGATTGTTAGAGCAATTTTATAAAAGTAAGCTTGAACTTTCGATTATGTCAAATAGAATTTTGGATATATATTTACTAATACGTAAAGGATTTACTAAGTGAAAGTATGTTTCGAAGTCCATTAAACAAAAGTGGAATTGCTGCAAAAAATGACCTAACCATTCCAAAATCTGTTTACCAATTTCACGCTGCTCTGCGGCGGGGGAAATGCCATGTCGCGCAATGAATTGGAAGTTGATCTGTCAGCATTATCCTTATCTTCAGGGCAGATGTTTCATTTTATTTGGCTTATAATTCCTTACTAAATGTAGTATTTCATCTCGATGTATTCCGTCTTTGATATGATTTAAATCAAATTCCACTTCATTATAATTTGCTTCCTATAGTGAAGAAAGTGACACAGAGGTTATTGAAACGAAAAAATTTTGATTGACAAATTAGTCGGTATTCCCGACACAGCAATTATAGGACTTGAACATCAACAGTTGTTCAGTTACAACAACTTTGTTATGTCTGTTTATAGAATTAAAGAGAAAGTATTATCACGTAAGACGAAGCAACTTAAACAACTTACATTGAAAGAAATGTTTAATAAATTAAACAAATAAATATTAAGCTTTTTTTTTTTTTTTTTTTTTTTTTTTTATTTTGTAAAATTTTGATAGCCTTTAGATCATAATTGTTCTTCTTTATTTCATAAATTATGGGTTTCATATTTTTAATTTTATAATTTCTGCATGCCTTCTTACCAGATTTAAACTGATGATCTATAATCCGGATTATTGATTTTTCCGGATTATAGATCATCAGTTTAAATCTGGTAAGATGGCATGCAGAAATTATAAAATTAAAAATATGAAACCGTAATTTATAAAATAATGAGCAATTATGATCTAAAGGGTATCAAAATTTACAAAAAAAAAAAAGCTTAATATTTATTTGTTTACTTTATTAAACATTTCTTTCAACGCGCGCATGCGTAAAGCATACATTATGCATAGCTGAAATTAGAAAATTGCAACCAGAAAACTATTTGATTTGTATTCGTGATATTTATAATGACGAGGAATTTGATTTATAAGCCGAATAAAATCAAAACATCTGCCCTGAAGATAACGATAGTGCTGACAGATCAACTTCCAGTTCATTGCACGCCGCGACGTTCCCCCCTCCCCCCCTGCTTAGAGCAGCGTGAAATTGATAAACAGATTTCGGAATGGTTAGATAAACAAAGGATATACCTTTATCCATTTTTTGGAGCAATTCCACTTTTTGTTTGATGGACATCGAAACATACTTTCGTTTTGTAGATCCTTTGGGAGCTCCAGCATCGGAAATTCTATTTGACATAATCGAAAGTTCAAGCTTACTTTTATAAAATTGCTCTTACAGTCTGCAAAAATAATAAGCCGGATCCAATTCGAAGATTAAGGAACAACGCAATCATCAACATTAACTGAAATAGATAATTAGATAATTTTAGCTTATACCGTCCGTTATACATTAAACGCACACGCGAAAACTGCGTTTGCTCACACGCATATTCGCAGTCGTAAAGGTCTTACGCACACGCGTAAACGCCTATGCCCATGCGTCAACGCGGCGCATGCGCAGAAAGTTTTTAGCTTTGAGGTCTGGATTATAGATCATTCCAGATTATGGGTGTCCGAATTAACGACTTTTGACTGTATTCCAAAAAATGAAACATATATAATGATTTACAATTTTATTTGAAATTAACACAAAAATACTCTTTTTTGATAAATGAAAAATAACAATGAAGTTGTTTAAATGGCAATGTACCTACTCTAAAAATTACTGTACAAACCTTTCAAGCATATTCATAATTAATTTTTTCTTGCTTTAAATGAAGCAAAATTATCAGTAATTTTTCCAAATCTATTTGATTATTTAATTTATGCTATATGGAGAGAATGGCCAAATGGAGGTCTAAAATCTGAAAGGTTTTCTTGACTAAATGGAGATTATAACTGCCACAATTAATTTATTAGCAATTCAAACTCCACAGCAATTCTTAATTTGCATTAATAATCCTAGGTAGATTGTAACATTAATGCGAACTAAACATGATTTTCATGTTGAAACAATTTGGCTTTTCTAAAACTATCTAAACTCATTTCCATCATTGGTTGGATTCTTTTAAAAATCACTTATATCTTTACAGTATAAGTATGATTTTAAAATAAATGAGATTTAATGATATGTCATGTTTTATCTATTTTACTCTGCATCTTCATTAAACTGAGGTGCTTCAATGTGTAAAATGTTATGAATTTGATAGAAGTCTGCCACTCATTTTTATTCACAGGAATGACAGATTTGTAGGACCTGGTCTAACTGATTTTGATGCTTTTAACATTTTTTTTAGGTCTTGAATCAACAGTTCATGATGCTCATTTGTTTATCTTTCTTCATGTTTCAGTTTTTCTGAAATTGTATTTTTTAAAATTTCTGTAGTAAGAAATATATCTTTTAAATATATTTTTATATTCATGATCTTAGAATCAACAAAACTAGACTTTTTTAAGACCTGTCTTTTGTGTTCAAATCATTAACATATTTTAGCTATAACAGTTCACCTTAAATCCTCCACAAAGTATTCTGAATTTTAAACCTTCTAATTTCTTTGAAACTCAAAAATTCGTTTTATTATTATTTACTATAAATAACAGAATAACTCTAAAAAGCAAGGTTATATCCTACCTTATATATTTACATTCCAGTTGACAAAAAATGAGACAAACTAGTGTACCGATTTGTTTAATTCCAATGTATATCTGCTTCAGAAATAACTATAAATTAAATAAATGTTATTCTTCCTTGGAAACTGAACATGAATGCAAGAAGACAAACCTTGAAACACGGACCTCATTCATTGGCAAATTCTCAAAGAATAAAGTATGGACCAATAATGCAGTACATTTCATTTTCAAACTGCCTTGTTTAGTTTCCCAATGCTATTCCAATGGGCCTTTATGCATTAGTTTGCAAAAAAACTGTCTGCAACTGCATTTCGTTTGTGCTGGGTTAGTGGTCTTTGGCAAGCTTTCAAAGCAAAAGTGGTGCAGGTTAATGGGAGACAGAGTCAAGAATTATTAATGTCAGCAGTACGATATTTTCTGTGCAAGTTTAATCTGCAGCTTGTTACAAGTAGTGTAAATTAACTTCAGTATGCTACTTTCAATAATAAATTTTAATATTAGAAAATAATATATGCACTTCTCTGAAACTTCATGTCTTTTGAAAATAAATTAATGTTATTAATTGACAAAATTGACTTCTTTTAATTCAGGTGGATTGTTATAACACAAAAACTCTTTTTATTCTTTTGTATATTCCAAAGTTTAAAATTAAAATCATAATTCCTTTTCTAAATTTTCATATCTAATTTAATGCCCCTTCTATTCACCTGAAGCAAGTTCTCACCCTTCTCCCAGTTCTGCTTGGAAATCATTCACTAATGCTAAAAATGCTTCCTACATGTCATTGGTAGGATATTGGCATGTGGATGTTTTTCAAAGTAGCTGAATTATAAGCATGTGTAAAGCAGGTTGTTCCAAACATTGTATCAGCACACATATAAAGTATTGTGCATGAATTATTAGATAAGTGACAGCATGAAGTTTCATAATGCATCAGTGCACATGATCATCACTTTAAAGCAAAGCTTTTTTTAAGAATGTGTATTTTATCACATTTTATGACCTGTTAAGTATGAAAACTCAGCATATTTTTAAGAAATTTCCAGCATTTAAATGCAGTACTTTCAAACAGAAAATATCTGGAAAGCTTTAAAAATTGAGCATTTTGTCTTAAAACAGTATATCATAACTGTAAAAAGAAATTCTGATTAGCTACTTCATGGCATCCAAAAAATGAGATCAGGAATAGTTCTTTGGAGTTTATATACAGTAATGATGGAAGGGAATTATGCTGCTGTTATAACATGTAAATGTTTATAATTTAAAATTAACTTGTGAAAGTTTTTTGTCTCCTCCAGTTATGTGTCTCATCATTATCATTTATTTTGGTATCCGGGACTGAATTCACTTAAAAGCATTTGTATATATCTTTATGTCAGTGCATGATTTTTTGGCACCTTGTGCACTCAACAGAAGCAGAGAGTTTTGAATTTTTAAATGCATCTAAGACCAAAAAATTGGATAATCTATTCTGCCAGTGTTTTCTAAATGGCCACTGGCTTTTAGTTAAAGTGTTGATGTAATGTTTTATAAAAGAATGAAAACAATTTAAAAAGTCAATTGTTTAAATATGTAATATTAAACAAATGACAAACAAATGTAATATTAAACAAACAAAGTCTTATGAATGAGTTTTAGGAAAAAATGCAAGTTTAAATATAGTGATTCATTAAAATATGTGAATACTCAAATGCAAAAATTTAACTCTAAATGTATATATATAATCAGTTTAATCCTAATTTTTTCATCAAAATTTTTCAGTTCTTAATTTTTAAAGTGTATGAAGTTTACTTCAAGTAAACCATTTGCATCCATTATAATGAAATATATTTTTCACTTTATTGCTTTATATGCACCAACAGAAAAATCTATCTTAAGTATTTTACTTTTTTATGCATTTTTATTTCAGAGGGCCACCTTCAGACACAAACTTTATCAGATACTTCTAAGACAGATTCAAACTCAGCCTCAAATAATGCTCAATATAGTGTTCAGGCCCTATGTAGTTTAGCTGAAGTAAGTCATTTCTTATGCGACACTTTTGTAAATGTCATGTAAATGATATACTGACAGAAACATTTGTAGCAAAATCTTTCCAATTTTGTGCTGTTATATTATGCTGCCATTAAGCAGCCTATCAAATAGCCAGTTCTCATAATATTGCCATTCTGCATGGCATAAGATCTTTTAATTTATATTTTAAATTATAATTATAGTTGCTTAACAAGCTGAGCAATTTCAAAGCAATAAATTATCGTTTATTTTTAACTGTATATCTAATTCATGCAATGTAATCAACTGATAATTCATATGAAAATTTACACCATTATTTAATCAAGGGAGGTATTTATAAGTACATCAGAGCAGATCAGCTTTTTTAACTAAATTTTAGAAATCTGGTCTTTTATCAGTTTCATTGGTGCCCTTTGGCCTTTACTCTAACTGTCTTTCATACATTTCAGCAGTAGTACTTTGCATATTAATGCAACTCTGTCTTATCTGTAGCTAAATGCTTTATGTAACGGACATTTGCAGTATGACAGTGCATGTTGGAAAAATTTATGCTTTATGTAACGGACATTTGCAGTATGACAGTGTGTGTTGGAAAAATTTAATATACATTGTTGGACGGAATGAAAGGATCATATTTTTGATGCATGGAAAGAAAATTTCCATATTTTTGCATAAACTTAATATAATTTTATGGTGTTTACATGCTACAGATATGCAGAGTAAAAATGTTTAGTAAAATATGTACATGATTAAAAACAGCATATAGTAAATCACGTAGGATTATAGTAACTGAATATAAATGTAAATCTGAATATTTGTTAAATTAATGGGTTTTATACAATTTGAGGACCATTTTATTGTGTTGTTGATGAAATGTGTGATGAGTGATCATTAAAGCTGTATTTGAAATATGATGGTTTTCTCTTAATATATCACTGGTTAACTTATAACCCTACACAAAGGATATGTACTTACTAGTGTGTTAAATAAATACTGAGCTCATCTTAGCTTTCTTAGCTTTTGAAATTATATTTCAAATATTGTAATTTCAAGAAAACTTGAATTTGGAAATATTTGTTATGGCTAAACATGTTAAGCTTTATTGCGTAAAGTACTTTAAAGTCTATAAATTATTTTCTGGAAGTTTTTTTTTTTTTTTTTTTTTTTTTTTTTTACTGAAGAATGGATAGAATCATAAGAAACTATGACTTTCAAGAATGAGCTGCTTAACAGTTGTAAATGACTATAGTGATGATATTTCTAACAGTGATATAAAAAATAGAACTTATAAAGATGTTCCCTTGAGAATGAGAATGTGAATTATATTACTCGTATAAATTAAAGCTTTGAAGCATTCTCATCAAGTAGCCAAAAAAAGAATTGCATTGTTACTCATATGAACCATTTAAATAAAAGTTAGATTTTAAATTCAAACTGCAATATTTGCGGCACGATTTATTGCTAAAATCATTTTAGCTAATTCTTGGTAACTGTGTTTACTACATGCTTAGAGGTTGGAATTTGTCTAAGTGAATGCATGACTGATCAATGCTGTGATGCAGAATTAGTAACATTCAGCATATATAGGGTAAATCTAAGTGCAGTAAAATAAACGAGTTCAGCGCAAGTATTGTTTATATCATTTTTAATGGCAGACATTATACCCAACAAAACTATTAGTAGAATTTCAATCCATTTTGGGTTGTTATGAGCCATTATTGCAGTTTTAAGCTACCTATGAAATCTTTCAATCAGCCTATTGGACTGAGGATGGTAAGCAGCAGTTTGAAGGTAGCCAAAAGCTTCATCAAACCCTTAATTATTCAAATTCAAAATTTCGGCGTAGATCAGTTGCTATTGATATGCTGCAGCTAAATCTAGCTATCCAGTTATGTACTAACACTTTAGAATTAGTCTGAGCAAATATGTCAGCAGTAGGTATAACTTCTGGCCATCTGGTAAAGCGGTCAACAATTGTCATGCATAATTGTTACATTCAGATTGTGGAAGAGGACCTATGAAATCAATATGGATATGTGCAAATCTTACATCAGGCAAGAAATAGGTACCGAAAGATGATTTTGAATGTCTATAAATTTTAGAACGTTGGCATTGTAGACAAGATTGAATGGCACTTTTAACAAATTTCTTTATGTTAGGACAAACTTATCACTTAGTGATTAGTTTTGTTAAGGTTGAAATGCTAGTCTGAGAAAGACAGTGAATCTGCTGGAAAATGTTTAAAGCAAAAATATTCAGGAATGAACAGATGAGCTGTACCTGTGTTCATATTGCAGTAATGAGTAACATCTAAAGAAAAACAGTGTTACTGTAGTGTAAAACACCAGTGAAGACTGAGAGAGAGAATTTTGAATTTTAGAGTACTGAAGTTGTGTTTAGATAAATTTTTATAATGAATATGTTGATTACCAGAAACTGCACCTATTTCTACCCTGCATAAAGCGTCAGCAACGATCTTGTCACGACGTTTGACATATTACATATCAGTAAAAAATTGGCTAATGAAGTTGTGGCGTTCCGACAGATACTTCAACTTCTATTCATGAGATGGCGCCACGTGTAAAATCCAGTTCTTAATCGGAGCAGCAAAGCGACGTAATTACTCACTCAGACTTCTCGTCAGACAACTGTACGCGACGGTAGCATGAACTGTGTTCCGAGCTCTGCGTTGATCTCTGCAATGTAATTTAAATTGTAATTTAGTACTTAATATACTCTTTTGTTATAGGAGATTGTCTACTCTTATTTTCTTTAATTATATCATGCATTAAGCACACGACCACCAAAAAGTTGTCATGGAAAACATTTTCTGGGCTTTTGCTTAGAAGTATATATTTGAGGCTTTTGTTCCATGTAGATTGTGAAGGCCCTGCCTTCGAGCATATGCTGAAATTTCTTTATTGACAAATACATAGCCAGTAGTTGTCAATCATAGGAGGCTCATTTCCTTTGACTTTAGCTGAATTTAATTGATAGAAACAAAAGTTTCCCAAACTGAATTATGCAGTTGCATTACTGATCTGCCAACCACAATGTCCGATGCATCAGTACAGTTTCAAGGTAGCCCCAGGAACGGGGTGTCTGAGAAGGGTAGCCTCAGTGAGTGCCCTTTCTGCATTGGAGAATGCTTTCTCTGCTTAGAGAGGGTGTTCTTTTATTTTACTTGGTTGTGAAGGATTCTTTTTATTAACAAGGCCTTCCAATAAATTATTTAAGAGAGCTGAAATGCACGAACCTCTAAGGGAAACTAGTTTGTATATATGTTACACATAGGGAAAACCATGAAAACGCTCATGCAGACAGCCCTTTTGCTGGGATTCGAACTACCAGTGTTCAGTGACTGCCAGTTCACTCAGCCACTGATAGGCACATTTGATGATAGGCTTTTACCAAATTTGTATGAGAGAATAGTTTTGTTCCAACTCTGCTGCAAAATCACAACTGTTTGGGATAGGATAGTTATCCTCACCATCTGAACAATTAAGCTCTGAAAATTTCCCACAGATCCTCTTTCATTTGTGCCTTTCTTTGACACCATTGAGTTTCATCTGGCCTAAATTGAACATGCTTGGATTTCATTCTTAGCAATTTTTAATCTATCTGAAGCTAATCTCCTAGGCTTGCATGACACTGAAGGACCTACAGTTTCAAAGAAATCCATAGTACAGTCAAAAGTCGTTAATTCGGACACCCATAATCCGGAATGATCTGTAATCCGGACCTCAAAGCTAAAAACTATCTGCGCATGTGCCGCGTTGACACATGCACATAGGCGTTTACGACTGCGCATATGCGTGTGCGCAAGTGCAGAAAACGTTTTCGCGTGCGCGTTTTATGTATAACGGACGGTATAAGCTAAAATTATGTAATTATCTATTTCAGTTAATGTTGATGATTGCGTTGTTCCATAATCTTCGAATTGGATCTGTCTTATTATTTTTTGCAGACTGTAAGAGCAATTTTATAAAAGTAAACTTGAACTTTCGATTATGTCAAACAGAATTTCCGATTCTGGAGCTCCCCAAAGGATCGTCCAAAACGAAAGTATGTTTCGATGTCCATCAAACAAAAAGTGGTATTGCTGCAAAAAATGGATAAAGACATGAAGAATGTGACAGACAGGTTAGTGAAAACAAAAAAATTTCGATTGACAAGTTAGTCGGTATTCTCGGCACAGCAATTAACGGGACTTGAACAGCTGAACTTTGTAACTGAACGAGAAATCATGTCTGTTTATAGAATTAAAGAGAAAGTATTATCACATAAAACGAAGCAACTTAAACAACTTACATTGAAAGAAATGTTTAATAAAGTAAACAAATAAATATTAAGCTTTTTTTTTTTTGTAAATTTTGATACCCTTTAGATTATAATCGTACTTTATTTCATAAATTGCGGTTTCATATTTTTAATTTTAGAATTTCTGATTGCCATCTTACAAGATTTAAACTGATGATCTATAATCCGGAAAAATCGATGATCCGGAATCGCCGAAGTCCCGACGAGTCCGGATTAACGACTTTTGACTGTATTATGCTTATCATTCTTATTAAGGTCACGAAGCTTTTTGACAGTAAAGGATAGTTAGACAGTAATTTATTATGTACATTATTTTCAATAATTGCTTTGACAAAATACAAATGTTTGTTAATGATACTGTAATTAATTTTTAAATAAGTTTTTAAATCAGTGAGTTTCCTCTTCTGGTAGCAAATGAAAGTAATGTAGAAAATCAGATCCAGTAATATTCATTGACACTTTACATACATAAAAAGCAAATTTAAAATTGTGATGAATTCTGAGGTTAAGACTTACAGTTTTTGTCCTTAAAGTGGAAATGATGTACCATTGACAGCAGAAATTGCCATAATAGATGCCTGATGCATTTCATCTTTGGTTGCTAAGAGAAAACTGACATTTGAGCCAGTGTCGTATAAAAAGATTTCAGTTGATTTTCTGTCTCTAACAAAATGGTGACGAAACTCAGAGGGTAAAGGGCAAGTTGTATTATGTCTTCCCGTGTTTGTTTTCCTGGAACGAACATGGAGGAATACATTTTTTAGCTTTCTTATAAAATTTGTGATGGTACCAGCAATACGAAAAATTTTAAGTAGCTTTTAGCTGAAGGGTTTCTCTTTCTGTTAAAGCAGTTTTTAGAAATACTGCATGATCGTCGTACAGCCAATACCTCACCACGTAATTTGCAGACATTAGCCAGCAGAGAATCCAGTTTCGAATTATTAGACACACAAGTAAAGAAACTGCACTTATCTGAGTGGATGTGATTTCCAATATCCGGTCTGAAATGCTGGCAGCTCTCGAAGAATCAAGCGGCTCAATAGATGCAATAATAGATTGAACATTTGGTGGCATTTGCTGAATAAATACCTCCAATAACAATGAGTTGGATATATCTTGTTTTTCAGCACTCCTTTTCATGACTTTAAACAATTTGGATGGTTTTCTATTTCCAAGTAGTTCCCCGGCAAGTAATTTCTGGATTTCCTGGGTATTACTTTCCCCACAATGTTTAGTCATGTCTTGATAAGAAACATCACTGCATTCCCAAAGTATAATGTCTCAAACCAAAGAAACAATATTTGGCAGCAATAACCTATTTAAGGGAGCTGAAATGTGTGAAGCTCTTCTGACGAAAATGTCTGTAAAAGTTTAAAATGCCGAGAAATTTTCGTAACTGCATTAAAGTATTTGATTTTAGGAAATTTTGAATGGTTTCCTCTCTGTGAGATAAAGATTTAAACCCTCTTCAGATATGTGAAAACCCAAAACTCGAAACATGTTACACCAAAGATACATTTAGATGCATTAATTTTTAACCAGTAATTACTTAGTCCTTTGAAAAGAACTTTTCAAGTGTGCCAAATGCTCAGTTTTGTTCTTTGATGCAGTCAGTTATATCATCAGCAAAAGTAATTACTCCTGGCAGTTCATGAGTTACTTCATGAATGAACCGCTGAAAGGTTGCAGCTGTGTTGCAGAATCCAAACTGCATTCTTTTGCTCTCAGGAAGTCTGAAAAGAGTAGCAATAGCCATTTTGTGATTATCAGAAAGATTAATTGAAATTTTATGATAGGTTTGCTTTGGTTTATTTAATTATGGCAAAGCACTCAAGGGTTATCTGCCTAAGGGAGATGCCTCTGTGGAAGTCTTTCTAAGGGAAACTATTTTGTATACATGTTACACATAGGAAAAGCCATGAAAACGCCCATGCATGATCTATGTAATAGTTGAATTTCTTCTTGGGATGTGTAATAAGCTTTGCTGTAGCTAAAGCAAAAGTTGACTCACACAAACTACAGTGAGGGATCAATAGGATTATAGATCAGTATCCTTTACCACTGCTCTGTACTCCATGGTAAAGGTTAAGAGAAGAAAATGAAGTCTTGAAACAATGCTTTTTGGTTGAATTTGAAACTTCAAACGTGTAGCCATTGTAGGAGGTTTGAATATGTTTCAGTGTTAGTTTCTACAAGCCATGACTCCATGTTCCTAAAATAATCAACTTTATTAACACAACTTGTTCATAAAAACACAGAAGCTACTACAGTCAAAAGTCTTTAAACTGGACTCGTTGGGACTTCGGCAATTCCGGATTATCGATTTTTCCGGATTATAGATCATCAGTTTAAATCTGGTAAGATGGCATGCAGAAATTATAAAATTAAAAATATGAAACCGTAATTTATGAAATCAAGAGCAATTATGATCTAAAGGGTATGATACTTTACAAAAAAAAAAAAGCTTAATATTTATTTGTTTACTTTATTGAACATTTCTTTCAACACGTGCATGCTTAAAGCATACATTACTCATAGTCGAAATTAGAAAATTGCAACCAGAAAACTATTTGTATTCGTGATATTTATAATGACGAGGAATTTGATTTAAATCATATCAAAGGAGTACATCGAGATGAACTACTACATTTAGTAAGGAATTATAAGCCGAATAAAATAAAAACATCTGCCCTGAAGATAAGGATAGTGCTGACAGATCAACTTCCAGTTCATTGTGTGCCGCGACGTTTCCGCCCCCCCCCCCACGCAGAGCAGTGTGAAATTGATAAACAGATTTCGGAATTGTCAGAGGAACAAAGGAGTCTTTATCCATTTTTTGCAGCAATTCCACTTTTTGTTTGATGGACATCGAACATGATGCTTTCCCTTTGTAGAACCAGCATCGGAAATTCTATTTGACATAATCGAAAGTTCCAACTTACTTTTATAAAATTGCTCTAACAGTCTGCAAAAAATAATAAGCCGGATCCAATTCGAAGATTAAGGAACAACGCAATCTGCAACATTAACTGAATTAGATAATTTTAGCTTAGCTTATACCGTCCGTTGTACATTAAACGCGCATGCGTAAACGTATTATGTGCATGCATAAAGGTATTATGTGCATGTGTCAATGCATTATGCATTGACGCAAGCGCAGAAAGTTTTGTAGCTTTGAGGTCCGGATTATAGATCATTCTGTATTATGGGTGTCTGGATTAACGACTTTTGACTGTACATGGTACTCAAACCTTAAAGAATTGATGGTAAAGACAGTGTGTTGTCAGCTGATACTTGCACAGCTATTGCAAAACAATGTGATGTCAGCTGGTGGCACGTGCAGCTGAATGTGAGATAACCATGCGTGTTAGAGTTATATTCACTAGTACTATAGTAAAACATAAGAATATTTCATACTAGCTTTTCATCTCTTCATTTTCAGTTTGTCATAGCATTGAGAATTGTTTTTTTTTTTTAAATTAAATATTATTGATGTATTTTTAAAAACTCTTCAGAAACTGCTGTGTTCAGGAATATTAGCATGTTATCTCTCCTTAATTAGGAAAAGTCAATGAAAATTTTTATTACATTTCTTTTGCAGTAATATTTGCTTTTATATTATAGTTTTTGGCACCTGTGCTTGATTTTGTATATGTTGGTGATGAAAAAGAAAAAGTTGTACCTCTACTTAGTAATATCATGCACTATGTTACACCTTATTTAAAGAATCACAGGTAAGATTTTTTAACTAATATAGATGTGAGTAATAAAAGCCTATTTATAATAAGTACTGCAGAAATACTAAATTTATTGTTGTTATTGTTCTTATAACTGAATTACTAATTCCAAAGAATACCAATTATGAAACAATATTTGCTGCATTTATGCCTTATGCCTGTGCAGCTGAATTTATGTGGCAGTAGTTATATAATTTTATGATCTTATTTTATGATTCATTCCTTTCTGTGCATTATTTGCATACATTTATTTTTTCTTAAATTTAGTAAAAACAGCTTTTATATTTGTTGCTGTTTTATATTTTATTGAAAGTTCAGTGCTGTCATTTAATACATTTATTTATTCAGTTATATGCTGCTTTCCCTCCACTTTTACCCTATGGTATGTTGACGTTTGCAACTTCTGTATTTCTCTTCAATGCATTAAAAAGGTTCCGTTTGTTTTTCAGTAGTATTTTATTATATCTATCAGCAACAATTAACATAGGCTGACTGAAAAGATTTGAAAGTGAGTCTTTTATTCAGAATCAAATAATTGTACTGTTCGTGTAATTTTAAATTTTTCAAATTTGAGTCTTAAACATTGAGTTTTCACGGCATTTTATAAATGAAACCTAACATAGACATTTCTTTAGTTTTACAGATGTGACGGCTTATTTTCTCAGTTAAAGAAATCTTATGTCTGCATATTTGCATTCTGAATGTTGAAAATATTCAAAAATTACATTTTGTTAAGTCTGGATTATGTGCAAAGTATTCTAGTGCTGACAGATTGATTTTAGATGGTACAGCAGGGCACTGGCCAGCAGCAAAGACACTGGTTCTTGAGCAGACCAGATCATTAATTTCCCATTGATCTATGCAAACAAATTTCAAGATGCTTACATAATAGTCACTGTTTCCCATTAGGCTATGGATGTGAAATATCCACGTCCATTACCACAGTGAATAACCCGACAAAACATACTTCATTGATTATTCGTATATTACTTCCATACATGGCATCCATCATTTAAATGCTGAAGCATACTTAAATGCTTCTCCATGTATATTCTGGGACATTTCACATGTCTCATATCACTCTTCCCAAATTAATGCAAAATGCAAACATACCTCTGCTGTATTTTAACAGGAAATTTTCCTGATCCAACAAAACAAATGTACTTAGTGCTCACTGTGATCAAGACTGAAAGCCAGGTACTTGGCTGTCCAAATTCAGACATTGCATTATACAATCATCACAGAATCTAGTTTAGGAATGCCAGGTCTAGTACCAGAAAAAATAAAGGCAGTCTTAAAACGTTTTAGTAAACCCTTGTATGACATTGCAGGTATTTTATCCAAGGTGAGAAACGTCAGTTTTCGGATTTAAAATATATCTAGTAAGATAGTGGAAGGTGGTCCGTAATATTTATGCAACTAACACTTCCAGATAAAATTTCATCACCATTTAATTATTTCTGCTTCTGTGTCTACTTAGTGTAATAAAACTGTATTTGTTTGCATTCCAATGTTTGGGACTGATACGAACATTTTTATTATTGATTTGGCTTTCAGAAACTGTAAGTTTATATTAGGATTGTTGATGGCTAATAAAATAAATAGATCACTTTCTCTATTTTTTGTTTTATTGCTGATTTTTCCAGACTGTTAAGTCTGACTCGAAAATGTCCAAGATGGGGGAATAAAATTCCTGTGGTGTTTTTAGAACTGTAACTTCTCAGCTACTAAAACACAGTTATGCGATTTTTCTTAACTGGGCTTACTAGTTTGATTTTTTCCTGGAGCAATTTCTTTCAGTTATTTAATTACAAAACTTAGCAGAAAAATATGCATAGATAAGGATGAAAATGTCTAAAATTGAACACCATTATTGTAGGGTATTTAACATGACTATTTCTAAGCAATATTCACTGATGCACATTTCTTCTTTTTGCTTCAAGAATGTCTTTGCTGGAAACTTTCTTTTAAACTCTCTTTGCTGCCATATAAAATTCTGCTAAAAAAATAAGTAACAAAAGCAAAAACATTGAATAAAATGAAAACTATTTGATGGATGTGCATGACGTTGATCCGAGGGGTTGATGGAGCATTCGTAAACCACATACCAAAAAATAAAACAAATTCATACAAAAACACACGTATTAGGACCATCGCATTGCGAAAGACCAAATGGGTCAGAAGAATGTACAATGGAAACATCACGCAAATAACAGATATGATACACTGTAGCTGAAATTCAAGTGTGACAACAGCAAGGCAAGCTTGCAATTGGTCATCACTTGTTATGGCAATAGCGCCCATTCCTGAGCTAATGCGACTTGCTATCTGTTGTCCTAGCATCATGCCCTCATGCTTTATGGAATTCGATCCGATGATCGGGCAGGCCGTGGCAGATATGGAATGGTTTCACTCTCCAAGTAATGTAACTCCACTTCACTCAAGCAGTATATGAGCGATCTTTATCATCCATAAATATCGCACTGGTACCCATTGCAGCAACAAAAGGAAGCACAAGAGGGTGTAGAATTTTATCACGATACTGGACGGCTGTGACAGAACAACCAGGCATCATGCAGAGTTTGGTGTGGCAATTCGTTGCTATCCCAATCCATATAAGTAAACCTCCTGCTTTGTAATGGTCCCTTTCAAAGATTTTTGGTGCCCGATAGCATGCCCCTGGCTCTCGTCATATCATTTTCTGTCAAGAATCATTCTGAATATTAAATCGAGACTGATCTGTAAAGAGGACCATTGCTCTGTTGCCCTTCACAGCCCCAATTCAACCACCCTTTGACATACAATGGGGACAAAGGAACACAAACCACAGGTTGCCAAGCATACAGGCCATCTTCATGCAGTGAATGTGACACAGTTTGGCAGTATATGGGCTATCCTGCAGCAGCAGAGAAATGTGATGACAGCTGTCGTGCTGTTAGTGATCCACGGCGTCCTGCACATAGTAACAGGAAGTGATCATTTGCCGTTGTGGTAATCCTCTAGTATCCAGACCTATGTCTTGTACAGGGGCTTTGATCCCTTTAGTAATGATTCTGCAGCCTATTGAAGACACTACAATGCACATTCATCTTTTTTGCAGCAGCTAATTTTCTTGTACCTGCTTGCAATATTCTGATGGCCCTCCAGTGCCTTTCATCACGCAAATGATGTCTTCGGCTAATGCTTTCCACTTAGACTGTCTCAGATTAAACGGAACTATCACTCTTTGGGAATTGATGCATAGGTCCCTCATACCCTTTTTAAGGCATTGTGGTGTGACTGCGGGATTGCGATTTATAGTAATTTTGGTTCCTGATATGCATTTGGCGCTGCATTCTCTAGCTCATCTGTAAATTGTTAGTGTATTTGTTTATTTGATATAAACGAATTTTAGTTGATACGATATTTTAACATGTAAGCATTTTACGATATATTAAAAAATTTTAAACTTGCAAAAAGTAGCACAAGGAAATGATGGAGCAGCAAAAATTTTGCAAATTCACATACACATAAAATTTACTCACCGTGGTGTATCAAAAGTAGTAAATTTTCAAAATATTGCATCAACTGGCAGCACTGCCCCAATACCTCCCTAAGTTCTACTGCCCAGCGTCTATCCTATTCTCTAAAAATCTGCCATCTCTAATTTTTGCTGCATGATGCTCCTCTGAATTCTAAAATTTTTGCCACAGCTAAAATCTGACACCCAATGTGGTCCCATCTGTTCTGGTGCTGGTTTTGTGGGTCATTAGCATTTTTCTGTTTTTCTATCTAACCTAAACAATAAGCTTTTAAGTCAATAATGCAATATCAAATAGTTAATATTTGTTGGACAAGCAAAAACGTTTGTGAATATATTTGAGTAATTCAATGCAAAATTTGTTTAAAATTTGGTAACACAAAAAGGTCTTGTACAAAAGAACAAAGCTGTTTCAAATGTGGCAAAAGAGAACTCCTTAACAAAGAATGCAATTCTTCGCAAGAAAAACGTATCAACTGCAAGCATGCTAACATGCATTATCATTTAAATTTTGATATCAATCATAGTAGTGTAAGTAACAATTGTGCAAGTAAACAAAGAGAAATATATCTGTTAATTAAAAATATTAATTATGGACATAATTAAAATAAAGACCGTTAAATTTACAACACTCACGGAGTGCAAGTGCACAATTAAACGACTTTGAAAATATTCCAAATTTAAAAATAGCTTGCATACAAGAACCTTACTTCATTAAAAATTTGGTAAGTGGCTTTTCACAAAAATACAGGATCTATTTTCACCAAACACAAGCAAAAGCTACAATAATTGTAAAAGAAGACTCATTTCCAGTCATTCAGATTCTCACAATGGAGGAAATAACAGTAACCAAAATAGAAGGATCGCCCTCTTATATATAAATCTCGGTCTATTGTTCTCCAAGCACAGAAATTGAACTAATATTAATTACATTAGAGGAAATAATAAATTATCCTGATGATCTTCCAATAGTCATCTGTGGTGACATTAATTTAAAACTTTGAGTTCCAGTACCAACAAATCCTCGTGGATCAAGAACACGTGGGAACACTGTCATTTAAAAAGTCATCATCTTCATTTTCAAAATGTTCCATAAGTTCCCAGTATATATGAAATCTTTCATTAGACAGCATGTTCAGTATCTGTCTGACACCAAATTTGTGGAATCCAAGATACCATTACCGTAATTTCCGGAAGAAAGGCCGAATCAGCGTAAACGCTGCACTCGAGAAAAATGGCGGGAAAAAATTAAAATTACACAGAAAGGCCGCAATAGATTAAATTGCGCGTGACATCGTCGTGGGCCGTATAGATGCAAAATCTCAACCTAAGTCCTGATATAGAACATATCAGTTAAGAAAAATGCATGAAATGAAACCATAACTCACAAAAAAATTAAAGGTAAGAAATATTGAAAATATATTTACATTCATGTATATACTTATATTTACCCACTAAAGAAGTCCATATTTGTAAT